CTCAACAAGTTACAAGGTGTGAATGAATAGATAACATTTTTCTAGTGTTAACATTTCTATTCCTGTTCTTAGAAGATTTATAGAAAAAAATCATCAAGAGTCCAAATCAGAATCTGTAAATTCTGAGAGTTTGGAAAATGTGTCTAGTTTGTTCAGAAATTTTATTATGATTTTTAATGACTTCACACTTGTGTGAAAAAACCCATATTCACAGACTGGTCCGAATTTGTTCTTGAAATGATAGACAGTTTTGTAAAAATCACCATAAATTGTAGAAAAACCTGAACTATTTGCACCTAATACAGTTTTGAAAACAAAAATGTTTAAGTTGACCAAAACAGTTCGTGAATGGAGTTAAACTTTTCTGATGAAAGCTGTTGGGTGAGTTTAGTTGTGTTCTTGGTGTTTTAACTTGTATTCCCCCACCCCTTAAAACTTAAGAAAAACATGAAAAGATAAGGGTATGAACTCACCTTGTGTGATTTCAGTGGGTGGATGTTGAAGAAATGTAGTGTTCAACTCAAGAACACTTAGAAGGTTGCTTGAAGATTCGAAGAACTAACACAAATATGATGAAGTTTGTGTAAGCAACCTATGATTTGAGTAGAAAGAGGTGGAATAATCATATGAAGGATAATATTACTTACCAAAAGTAGATGGAGAACTTGAAAATCAGCCTTGAAATCTCGAAATTTAGAGAGAGAAGTGAGAGAGAATGGAGTTTGTTCTTTGGTGGAGAATAAGAGAAATGAGAGAAATGTGAGGAGGGGTAAGGGTTTCTAGCCTTTGACCAAGAGTGTGGCTGGAAAAATGGTGGGAAAGGACAATGAAATGACCAGGTATGGTGGAAGGACAAGGGCTGGTCATTAAGTGGGCATAGGTGGTTGCTTGTGTCATACACTAAGACAAAGTCAACACTCCACCACAAGTATCTCACCCACTATATTTTTAATCTTAGACAATGATTATCCTCAAAATGTGATTAGATTATGGAAATATGGGGTCTTATATGTCAAAATATAAGTTTGGGTGAAAATCCCCTGTTAAAATCACGAAAAACGGGCTCAAAACGCTAAAAATATTGAAAACCGGGCAAAAATTGCCAATTTCCGAAATTCTGGGCCGGAGGTTCGGTCCCAGCCCTTAGAACCGAATGTTGATGGGGGAACCGAGAGTAGGGTTCGTCTCCTTAAGCTGCGCATCTCGGACCGAAGGTGAAGGCTTGGACCGAAGGTAGTCCTCTCGGACCGAAGGTGGCCTCTCAGACCGTAGGTTACTTTCGGTTCCTTAGTAGTTTCGGTTCAGGAGGTGGTTTCGGTTCTCAGGAGGTTCGGTTCCTAAGAAGGTTCGGTTCCTAAGAAGGTTCGGCTCCTTAAGAGGATTTTTTCGCGTAAACTTCCGTTTTCGAGCGGTTTTCGATTAAATTAAGGGTCGGGATGCCCCGAGTGATTATAAGAAGTTGAGAGACATTTTGAGAGAGATTTGACATATTTGGAGAGATTTGACATACTTAGAGAGATTTGGGAGAGATTTGACATACTTTGAGAGATTTGGCATACTTAGAGAGATTTGGGAGAGATTTGACATACTTGGAGAGATTTGGCATACTTAGAGAGATTTGGGAGAGATTTCACATATTTGAAGAGATTTGGGAGAGATTTCACATGCTTGGAGAGATTTGGGAGAGACTTCTTTTGTGACCTTTTTTAGTGTTTGGCTTTGAAACGCAAGGTCCGCAAACCCCGTTTAGCCATGTTTAAGAGTCTTACACACCCCCGAAGGGTATGTAATAGTGTTTTATCGCTTTGCTACCTCACTTACCCCGATTAGGGTTCAAGAAATCTAAAAATACAAAATTTTCAAGTGATGATTTCTTATTAAAATAGTGAGTTGTACGGTAATTACATAAAGTGAACCCTAGTATACAAGAGTTAGTAGAGTTGATCAGTTTGACTTGTTGACTTTATTTGACTTTGACTTGACCAGAATTTGACGGTTGTCACAGCTGAGCTGCTATGGTTTCAGGTAAAACCCTAATCTGATTGCTTAAGCCTTAAGCAGTCCAGTAGATCCTTCCAGAAGGCCCCCTTGGACGAAATCTATGTGGGCTACACATAGAATTTCGTCCACCCCTTCTTAGGGATCCATAAGCCCAACTTGCAACTATCATATAATTGCAATATCAGTCCTCGTAATTTAATCAGTCTCTTTTGATCACCAAATTAATTCCAAATTAATTTATGATCAATACTAATTAAATAATATGATTTCTCCATTAATATATTAATCTTATAATATATTAATAAATCACAATTAACCTCTTTCTTCATAATTCATCCTATCAAATTGCTATGGTGAAGGCAACCCAAAAGGACCATGCTACTATCGGGTCAAGTACATACCAATTATAGTTATGGGCTTAGACACCTAATCCAACATAAACACACTAGGCGATGTACCTAATCGTGCAATAGTATAGTTGTAGTAAGACCAGGTGTCGAACACAAGGGGAACGGTGATGAATTAATTTTGAGTTTTTGATTATAGGTTACACTAAACACACAAAAACAGTAAAGAGGGGTTTTATGGAATTAAATCTCAAATAAACAGCTAAACAACAAATCTCGATAAACTGACTGAAGACAAATCTCTTTAGGTACTTTGGTTTAGACTGGATTTCATCTCAAAATACTGGCTAACTACTAAGTACAAAGGATATCTATTCATTATTCACTGATTCCTAATATGACTAGGATCATGATAATACTATTAATCTTTTGATTTTAACACAACTATTAATTCAACGACCAAGTAAACAAACAATCATGTAAATCAGTGTTTAGTTCGTATTAAGAAAGATTTGATCTTTATTAATCCTAATGATCATAGGAATTAAATCATCCATAGAATGATCATCTACTTATGCACATACATTAAAGTTCATCACTTTATTTCCTAACCTTAGGTTATGATCTAACTCTAGTCATAATTACCAATGATCATGGGCAATTATGATTCAAATTAACACAATCAGAATGATCATCTAAACTCTATTAATTCAACAATTAGGAATAAAGTAACAATCTTTAACACTGGATCTTGCAATCAAACTTGACAAAATAATTTAAACAAGAATAAACAATCCAAATAGCAATCCATAATCTTAAAGATTCATCTAATTATAAACACAAAGAAAAAGGTTTTAACACCCAAATTAGAAAATAAACGTATATGGAATCACATTGGAATGCTAATCATGATTAGAACAGAAAACCAAATGATTTCAGACATGAATCCACTCTCTATCCTTCAGCTATTTGCTCCTATCAGTTTAACAGCCATCCGACCGCCTTTTAGACCCTCAAAACGGTAGAAGAACTGTTTCTTGTCGACCAAGGATGGATAAAAATCGTAATCTCCCTTTAGGTTAACTAAAAAACACAATATATAATATTTTCTGCCGACTAAGTACTTTGGGTGTACATGGACTTACTCTGGGCGTTAGGTGTAAAATTCACGTCAGGACCCAACCCAGTATGTTGGGCGTACTCCCATTACGTTGGGCGTAATGGGCTTCTTCAACCATTTCTTCACTTTTGCAATCCAACTCCAATTTACAGCCTTTTCGCTTCCTTTCCATTCTAGCAACAACTTATACCTGTAAAATATAAATTAAAGCATTATATGTACCTTTTAGTTCTAAATGGAATAAAAACATTATATAAAATAATAAGAAAACGCTATAAATATATGTATAAAATTGACGTTATCAAACTACCCCACACTAGTCTTTTGCTTGCCCCCAAGCAAAACTGATTTAATTATCATATTATCACATCAAAACCCTAGTCACCATAATCATACAAGACAATCCATTTTGAACCCATCAATACATCATGACCGCAATGCATGTATTTGTATCTAAATTTCCTAAGAACTTCCCAGTCCTAAATATTTACAATCCTCATAAACATTCCCCCACTTATTTTGAACAACATTCATTTTATGCATTCCTCCAAATCCATCCCCATAAAACTTTCTTAACCTCAAGTTATTTTTGGTTAAACTCTCAAATATACATATGGAAAAATAACCTAGAAAGAAAAATTACAATAAATAACTTGACAAATTGTCTTATTCTTGAGTCTTCAATTTTTGGATTTCTTGAGCTTTTCTTCACATTTCTTGATCTTCATAACTTTGTAGACTCTTAGTCTCTCAAACTTTTTTTTTCCGGACTTGTTGTTATTTTATAATTTTTTTTTTCACTTAAACTAATTTGGTTAGTTTAGTTAATAAACCAACATAAAATGTTGTAATTTGAATGGAAAAATAGATAAATTAAAACTTCACTTAAAAATGTTAAACTTGTTGAACAAGTTAAAGTACAAACATTATGAATGTTTGATTTCTAAGAAACATTATAAAGTATAAACTATAAAGAATAAATTAAATCATCAAAATTTTATTTGTGTAAATACAAATAAAATTTAATAATTTAAAGGGTAAACGGACAGAGTAGACTCCCATAGTTTTTGTTTTGTTGCAACATTTAAAAGATAAATTTAATTTGTTTAGCGTAAGGTTTCTCCAAGATTCACAGATACCAAAACACCCCCTTCCCCCACCCCACTCACCATATCAACTGTTCTTCTTTCTATCCCCACTTTTTTTTTTCCAAATCTCACCACCACTCCCTCTTCCCTCTCCCTCACTGTAACACAGCCAAAAAGCTTCTGCCTTCCTTCTGAATCTTCAATTCCATCACTGTACTATCAATACTACTGTGTGTCTGGTGTTGCAGAACCATCGCCATTGTTGGAAATTTCAAAGAACCATTCGCGGATTTCATGAGTTTATGGTAGTTGTTGATCTTTGTCTTTGCAGGGGTTTGGATTTCTTAAGGATAAATGGGAGTTTGGTGATCTTTTGTTTGGTGTAAATCGACAATGTGAGGTGAGTTTTGAAGATTTTCCATTTGGGTTTTTCATTTTGTGATGATGGTGGCTGCGATTTCTGAAACAACAAACCAATCAAGACCACCGTTGTTACCTTCCGAGAAAGATAATGGAATCATCGGCCCTAATAAACCAACAAGACCTAAATCGAGACAAGTTTCTTCAAGATACTTATCTCCTTCCCCTTCACCTTCCCCTTCAACTTCTTCGAATTCCTCGTCGTTACCGACACCAACGCCTTCACGACGCTTCCCATCTCCTCTCGTTTCGAGAAATTCGACTACTCCGGCAGCAAAACGGTCTGTTTCCGCCGACCGGAGACGATCCACTCGACCGGATCTTAACTTGAAATCCAACAATGCCGGCGGTGCCGGCGAGGTGTCGGCGGCCACTAAACTTTTAGTAACATCCACACGAAGTTTATCCGTTTCCTTTCAAGGCGAAGCGTTTTCATTACCGATTAGCAAAACTAAAGCAACCCCCACTTCCCCTAACTCAACTACTTTCCGAAAGGGTACCCCTGAAAGAAAAAGAACCGGTACCCCTTTAAGAGTCGGAGATCACGCCGAGAATACAAAACCCGGAGATCAACACCGGTGGCCGGCGAGAACTCGTCAATCAAATCAAACCGTTTTATCAAAAAGTCTAAGTTTAGATTGTGGGGTTGAAAAGAGTAACATAATCGGATCTGGGAATGTAATCAGAGCTTTACATCAATCCATGAACATGGATTCCAGAAGGGCATCAGTCGATGGTGTTCATGGTGGGAGATTATCACTGGATTTGGGTAATTCCATACTTTCAAACCCAATTCAACAAAACCCAAATGGGAATTCTTCCGATACCGATAGTGTCTCATCTGGTAGCACATCTGGAATCCAAGAAACGAACCGGAATGGAACCAGAGGGGTAGTTATGTCCGCTAAATTTTGGCAAGAAACAAGTAGTCGAATGAGAAGATTACAAGATTCAAGTAGTGGAACTAGTCCAGGATCAAAACTAGTGACACCATCAAAATTAGCAAAGAAATTTTCAAATGATGGGCCATTATTATCACCAAGAACAATGGCTTCTTCACCAAATAGAATGAGACCTTCATCACCGAGTAAGTTGATGACATCATCAGTGTCATCATCGCCATGTAGGGGTATGACTAGTCCAAGAAGGAATTCGGTTTCTGGGATTGTTAGTAGTGGATTTGGTGAAACCCCTTCTGTTCTAAGTTTTGCAGTTGATGTTAGAAGAGGGAAAGTTGGTGAAAATCGGATTGTGGATGCACATTTGTTGAGGCTTTTTTATAATCGACAGCTACAATGGAGGTTTGTTAATGCTAGGAATGAAGATACATTATTAAAACAAAGATGTGGATCAGAGGTAAATGATTAAATCTTTGTATTTAATTTTTGTTTATGTTAATTGTTAAGATTCAAAGCAAATATTTGAATCTTTGCTTTGTGTTCAGAAAAATCTATGGAATGCATGGATTACAATCTCTGATTTACGTGATTCAGTCACTAAAAAAAGACATAGATTGCAGTTACTGAAGCAAAAACTTAAGTTAGCCTCCATTCTCAAGGAACAAGTAAGTTATTTATTTATTTTTTATTTCAATTTCATGGATACGAATGAAAAATAATATGGTTTATTTGATTTAAAAAAAAAAACTGAAAGTCTTGTTATTTGAAAACATAGATAGCTTTTTTGGAAGATTGGGCTTCTTTAGATAAAGATCATTCGATATCATTACTTGGAGCAATTGAAGCTTTAAAGGCCAGCACTCTTCGCCTCCCTGTTGGTGGAGCAATAGTACGTGATTTTACCATTTTACCCTTCTCATTTCAAAGTTGACATTGGTGTTGATTTTTTCAGGCTGATCTTCAGAGCATGAAAGATGTTATAAGTTCAGCACTTGAAGTGATGCAGACATTGTGTTTGTCGATATGCTCACTTTGTGTGAAGGTGATTAAATCTATCTCACTTATTATGTTTTATACCTTTTCTGTAAATAGGTCGAAAATATAAGGGCTTTTATGTCAATTTAAAAAATAAAAGATTTCTAAAAAAAGGTATTTGAAAATTGTTAGGTGGAGGAAGCGAATTCAATGGTCACTGAGCTTGCAAATGTGTGTGCAAAAGAGCAAGCTTTGCTTAGGATTTGCAAAGGCTTATTGTCAATGTTAGCAGCCCTCAAGGTAAATTTTGGTTTCTTTTTAGAGTAAATTACATTTCTGGTCCCTCAGTATAGTTGATTTTTGCAATTTTGGTCCTTATTTTGACGTTTTGTAGTTATTGTGGTTCGTATCATGTCTAACTTTACAGCCTAGAGATTAAAATTGAAAAAATCAGCATACCACATGGACCAAAGTTGTTCTTTTCGTTTATTTTGGTCCAAGGGCAAAATGGTCTTTTGTAAAAGTTTTAAGAGCTAAGCTGAGGAAACTTGAAAATAATGAACAAATTTGCAAGAGAACTTTTTGTAATAAAAAATTGCAAAAATCAGCTTATACTTGAGGACTAAAAATGTAATGTACTCTTCTTATTACATTATTGTATCTTCTCTTTTTTCTTTTTAAGAAAATATACTTCTATAACTCTACCAATTATAGCATTGTTCTATTTTTTTTATTATTAAGACAGTATACTTATAAATATACTTATTTTAGCATTGTACGTTTTATTGCATTATTGTATTTCCACTTTTTTTCTTCTTAAAACAATCTACTTTGATAACTCTCCCAATTATGCAATTGTGGAAAATTAAACTTCTAATCTTTTTTCTTATTATATAATTGGGTAGATTTTTCAAAGTACAATTATAAATTATAACCCTCTTTTTCTTTTATAATAATAATAAATTTGTTAACGAATCCAACAGGTGAAAGATTGTAGTTTGAGAACGCATATGTTACAAACAAAGTGTGTGAAGAAATCACATTTGTAGAATTGATCTTTTAATTCAAGAAATTGCTAACATTACATCAAGTGAAGAATGGAGTTTCCGAAGGTAATAAAGTAAAGTAGATGACTTTTTGGCTTGTGGCTTTCGGGTTTTCTTTTTTTCTTTTTTGTTTGGGGAATTTGCTGTGTATTTTCTTGAGATTTGCAAGTGAAAGAAAATGTAGTTTGATTCTAACTAATGTAGTTTTTTTTTTTACACTCTTATGTATATATATAGGGATATGTAATTTCACTTATTTAATTCTCATGTAATTTGGTAAAGTTTGAACATTGAGCATTAAGAGCCTTTAGTGCTTTTTGGGTTGTGCTTTGCTGCAATTTAATGGTACCATTTTTGAAGCTACCACCATTAATGAAACACAGACTACTTGCACATTTGCAATCTAAGAGAATTTTGATTTCAGTCGAATTCATCAATTTCTAGGGTTCTTATCCAATTCGTCTAAATTGATTACATAATTTGATAATACACCAAAAGACTATTACATGCTTTGTATCATTCTTTTTGCTCACAAATGTAAAGATGTCTGCTAAGTGTCTGATGAAATGCTTAATCCTCCTAAGACACAGAATATCCCCACCAGGGGTCTTAACCCCATTTGTCTAAATTGATTACATAATTTGATAATAAACCCCCCAAAGCCCAAAAGACTACTACATTTTGCTTTTCCTGTATTTAATACTACATACATGCTTAAAGTTCTTGTTGCTCAAAAGTATAAAAGATGCCCACCAAGTGTTCGATAAAATGCCAAAGCCATCTTAAGACACTGAATATCTCCCTTTTCTTGAAGGGGTTGACTTAGATTCATCAGGATTAGCAGAACCAAGACTCTCAGATGAATCAGACCCACTATTCTCCTTAATTCCACTTTTACTTGACCAAATCTTTGACAGTATTTTCTTAGTTGAAAGCAGCCCTTTGACTCTAGGAACCGAAGCTTTATCAGATACACTACTCTTATGGCCATGGTGGCTCATTCTTAAGGCTGCAAGTTCCTCTTTCAAAGCTTTGAGTTCTTCAGCTGTTGCAACACCATCCCAATCATCTTCTTGATTTGTTGCAGATCTTCCATGGGAGGAAACATTGAGAGCTTTTATTGATTTGGGAAGATCCGGAGTGCTGCTGCCTGATGAGGTGGCGGCTCGAGCTTGCTCGAAGAAAAGGACTTGAACTGTGACACGTAACGGAAGCCTCTCGTTTTGAACCGCGTGCATACATGCATCTACCGAAAGCTTCTTGCAGTCCATTAGTCTGCATATTCTCTTTCTTTCACTCTTAGTGATCCCTTGATGTGTCTGCATAACATGACACTATTAGTACCGAGTAGCATCGTGTGAGACGTAAATCAAGTATACTTCTGGCATAAAGGCCAGATGCCCAAAAAGAAGCTTAATCCACATTAGAATTAGAATTCTAACGGATTAAGCTCCTTTTATAGCCAATGGGCCCTTATGTCGGCCACCTGCTGACATAATGGCCCACTGGCCACGAGGAGCCTAATTCATAGTGGAATTAGATCTCCAACATTAAGATGTAAATCAAGTATACAACTAGGTGGCTGAGGCCTAATCCACAGTGGAATTAGAATTCCAACATTGAGGTGCTAAGACTCGAACCCTAGACCTTTTGTGCAAATAAAATATATCCTAGAACAAATTGTACAAATTCTAATGCATAGATTACAAGTTGAAAGAAGAGGGATCAATTTTTTTTACCTTGAGATACATATCAATGGCGCGATACAACCCATCATGAGAAGGTCTAGAGAAACCATTCACCATCTCTGCAAGATCAACAAACATCCCTAAAGGCAAATTCGGATCTTTTGCTATTTCAGTCAAATAAGAGTCAACCAATTTAACCACCATCAACTTTGAAGCTTCCGATAAAATCCCTCCCATTTCTCGACCTCCATCTTCAAATTCACCATTATGATCTTGAACAATAAACTCTTTAACTATTTCTTGAACTATATTCACATCATAAATCATACTTTCGGATTCGTCTTCTTTCATTTTAATCAAAAGATCTTCAACACTCGCCTCCTCCAATTGTTGACCGATCCGTTTGACCAATTCCCTTTTCGCCATTTCACCCGAATCAACCACAATCCCCATTTTCAACAATTTTACCAAAAAACCACACGAAACACTCCCTTTTTCGGATGGCAATAACCAAGAAATAATCTCAATAACAGACCGAGCTTTTATAACATCATTATCATGTACAACACCATGATTAAAACCCGGTAATCTTCTTAAAGCAAACGCTTTTAACCCTTCACCAATCACTTCATTACATATCAAACCCTTACTTTTTATACTCACAAGAACCCGTTTATATAAACCGATTTCCAACTCAGCCAAATCCTCAACCCACCAATCTTTTGGAACCATTCGTGTTCTAACCCCGAATTCGTTCGCGTTTTCTTCCGGAAGCTTCTTACGGTTATAAGTATATGACCAGTCAACCTTTGACAGATCAACCGAAGCCTTGGAGGCTATGGAGTTGATGCAAAGGTTGACTAGTTTTGGTTCTTCTGACAATGAGGTCATGTTTTTTGTGGTTTGAAGTACTATGATTGAATCTTTCCAACTTCTAAAGATACTTGTGTTGAGGAAAACACTTAGTTTGTATACGAGGTTTCCTTTTTCAACTGTTTCGTGCATTTCGAGGTAATCGGCTGCACAATATGTGGAGATAACATTGTACGCGTTTAAGGTAACCGTCATACCATAACAGAATTTGGCGCATATTTCGAATGCAGTGGGCCCACCCGGGATTTCGTTAATGTCGATTTCGCCCCCTTCACTTTCGGTTGTGCCTCTGATTAGTTTTTGTAAGCGACCACTTTTTGATAAAAGGGGGAACTGAAAATGAAAATGGAAATCAATGTTATGGAATGTACAAAAAAAAAATGTGATTTTGTAATCTTTTTCTTGATAGCAATGGAATTTTATTCTGTTGCTAAAAGATTTATGGTTGCAAGATATGTTGATAAAAGATTTGTTATATGGTATTTTGTTTGTGTACAAGTATTTTGCCAAAGTAGTTGTACTTTTGAAAAATGTAAAATTGCATAAACGGACATAAAACTTAAAACTGAAGCATTAAAGCTAAAAGCTGAAACTCTTAAAACTTGCTTGAAATAACAACTTTTGGATTATGATATTTTTGTTTTAAAGTTAAAAGTTAAGATCTTCTAAAAGCTCTTAAAAACCAAACACAAGTACCAATTTCTTGTACCAAAAAATTAATACGTTGATAGAAGATTGTTATATGATATTAAATGTAAAACCATCACCAACTAATTACCCAATTTCCAGCACCAAAATTAGTGTGATTTTTTGTGCAAAACAATTGAAACCGTTATATACTATTTTTAGCATAAAAAATAGTAATATTTTTTTCTGACTAAAATAGATTTAAAAAAAGCCCTTATGTTTATTGGATTTTTACAAATTTGAATATTTTTTTATTATAAAATCTCACATCTTGTTAGTTGCGTTTTATCATTAGATTACAAGTATTATAATACGGGAAAATGTCATGAATAGCCACCAATAACATTATATATGCTTTTAAGTTACTAAAAAGCAAATAAAATGTTATTGATAGTCATCTTATGACCTTTTCCTATAATATATGTTTTATTAAGATAAGCTTTGTTTTTTTTTTAAATGTTAGAAAGCATTAAAATTTTAATGAGTTTGATACATGAAAATAAAATTTAATATATATCATAAATTAATAGCATTTAACATTATTATATAATTTTATAAATAATAAATATTACATATAAACTATAATTACATATATAATAAAATCTGAATATATAAAACTAAAATTCAAAGTTATAACATAAAATTTGATATAACAATATAATATAACATCATACTTAGGATTTACAGTTCCCAACAAAACGGCGTCGTATTGAAGATGCCCAGAGCCCCAGAGGACTAGCTACGGATTCATGTTCTAAGCTATAAAGATAGATTCACTACCTCTAGATAAAAGTTGATATTAATTTCGTGCATTAAAATATTTTTATTTAATATTAATATCTTTGTAGATCAGCATAGCATACCTTATGTAGATAGAACTTTGAATCTCCTACGTTGATGATGACGTCAGTTTCCAACTCCGAAGTCACATACCTAACAAACCATAGGTATTCAATTCGTTACTCATAAGTCATAATCAATCACATAAACATAAAGAAAAGGGCCCATTTGTACTTTGTAGTTTGAATCAATTATCAAACAATTACATGAAGAAATAATCAAAATAAAATGAAATACATCTGAAATGTAATGAAAATTTTACCAGACATTATCGCCATCTTTCTGAAACAAATCAGGTTTTGATCCAAGTTTCATGAACTTCATCTTCAACACCTTCTATAATCCACTTGTGTTCATCTAGCTTGTGAGTAAGTTGTTTTGATGAATATATTTTGTGGCTTTTGTTCAAAGAGAAAGAAATGAGATCTCAGAAATGGGTATTGAATATATACTTCTTGAAATAAGAATCTTTGACACTGTGTCAAAAATAAAAGATCTAGAGAGAGAAAATGTAGAGAGAGAGAGAGAGAAAAGAAAATGGTGATACCTTTTAAATTGTTGTTAATAAGTTGAAAATGAAGAAGAAGAAGAAGAGAGAGATATAATGTGTCGTAGTTTAGCGGCAAACCCCACGGAGTCCGGGCAACCCGGTCAGCAAAGGAGACATGCCCAACAGTAACACACACTCTTCCACACTAAATTATTCTTTCTCTCTCTAGAAATACCAGTAGAGAGAGAAACAAGGACACCCAACAAGCACAAATCTGACTCAACCTCTATTTTTTCTTTGATTAATTAAAATATGATGAAATAAAAATAAAATCTTGAAGGTTCGGTTTGAGATTAAAGAAATAAAATATTTTCAAGTGAAGATGGGGAAAACCTGCAAAATGGAAAGAACAGATATCAAATAACGATCAAAACTGTAGACAAACAGCATCTTTTCCTCTGTTTTTTTCTTGCAAAAAGATAACATAAAATAAGAGAAAAACATATTTAGTTAACAAGAAAATCCATTGGAAATCTTGAAACTTCGTAAACAGAATCAAATTCTAAATCTTGCATGTAACCCACTTGAAATTGCGACTCGAGAAACAAAACCCATCATTTTTTTTTTTTACCTTTTTTAGTTGCATGAATTTGTATTGAGACATAATCTATGCATATGGTGTGTTTAGAGAGAGAGATAGATGTGTATATATAATCGCACACAGAAACACATGTAAATAGGTGTGGATATCGGTGAAAAAGGGTAAAAATGACAAAACTGATACGAAAATGGACCCATCAAGAAATGAAACCAGATAACACAGGGAACAACAAAAGGATGCAAAAAAGACTAACCCACCAAAGGAAAAGACGAAAACACCCCTTGAAAAAAGACAAGCTATTTTCGAATATTAAGAACATAAATCCAATATTACACCGATAACCAATTTCTCTACCTGCTTTAGTGTTTGTCCAATTTCGTAAAGATCACCCCAAACACACAAGATCACAAGAACCATCTTTCAAGTAGGTAAAAAAGATAGAATCTTTCCCTTTTAAATGGGTGTTTACATCAATTAAAGATTAATTATTTTTTATATATAAAGCTTAAAAAGAAATGGAAATGAAAGCTTTTACCTTTGAGTTGTTCATTGAATGAAGTTTGGTGGTATTTTTGCAGAGTTCGAGAAGAGGGAAATGTAGTTATTTAGATGAAGATTGCACGCCAGTGCTGACAATCAGCTTTTTTGCTCATTCTTTAAGGTTAAACATCATAACTTGTAAAATGAAAGTAACAGTACTATATCGTATGGTTAGAATTGTAGTTTAATTCGTGGAAATGAACTTAATAAGGTAATTAACTTTTCGGTTTGTTCACATCTGGATAACTAATTTTTTTTTGTACACATCTAGGTAACAAATTTTTTGGAAGTGTTCACATATGACCAGATTTGAACACACCAAAAAGGTAAGAGTAAATTAAACGAATGGTCCCTGTAGTTTGGGTAATTTGTGTGTTTGATCCCTAACTTATTTTTTCAACTCGGATTATCCTTACTGTTTATTTTTGTTGTGTGTTTTGTCCCTGTCTTACCTCAAAAGACTATTGTGCCCCTTTTAATTTAATTTATTTTTTTTCTTATTTATGTATTTATTTTTTATATATTTAAAAAAAAAAATAGACCCCACATATTTGTATCTCCTCACCCTAAACCTGAAACCACATTTGAGAAATTTAAGTTGGGTCTCACTAGTCACCACCCCATCTCTCATCATCCTCAACTTTTATTTCCTTTCCATTTTTAGTGATATTGACGTCTTCATTATCCATTATTTTTTCGGTCCTTTAACTCCGACGAACCAACCCCACAACCCACTGTCTCTTCATTGAATTTTCCACCACCACGACCCAATAAAAGGGATGTGGTGTTGGTTCGCCGAAGTTGAAGGTCCGAAAAAGAAGGGATAGTGAAGACGTTGATGTCATTAAAGATGGAAAGGAAAGAGAAGTTGAGAATGATGACTGGTGGGACCGAGCTTAAATTTCTCGAATGTGGTTTTAGGTTTAAGGTGAGGAGATACAAATATGTGAGGTCTATTAATTTTATAAAATATATAAAAAATAAATACATAAATAAGAAATTAATTAAAAAATAAATTAAAAATGGCACAATAGTCTTTTGAGGTAAGACATGGACCAAACACAAAACAAAAATAAACAGTTGGGGTCATCCAAGTTAAAAAAAAGAAGTTAGGGACCAAATGCACAAATTACCCAAACTACAGGACCATTCGTGTAATTTACTCTTACCTTTTCGGTGTGTTCAAATCTGGGTAACAATCTTTTTTTGTACACATCTAGGTAACAAACTTTTTGGAAGTGTTCACATATGACCATTATGACCGGATGTAACCTGCTACAGCCGGTCATAATGGTCATATGTGAACATTTCCAAAAAGTTCGTTACCTAGATGAGTACAAAAAAAAGTTAGTTACCCAGATGTGAACAAACCGAAAAGTTAATTACCTTATTAAGTCCATTTGCCTTTAATTCAGAATATAAATGTGAAGAAGCAAAACCTTGTGGTAAAACCTTAATTTAATTGCTTGAACTTTGAAGTTGATATAGGGTCCTCAATACCATAAGGAAATTTCATTTTCATGTTTAATTGCTTTTCTTTAACATTATTTACCGGTGAACTTTTTTTTTATGTTCAAACAATATGATTATGACCGATTATTAGGCTAAGAGGAGTGGTAACACTCCTAACACCTTGTCATGTCATATTTTTGAATGCCACATCATGTTTTACAATTTAACACCTAATCTTAGCATTTAATAGGGAGTGGTAACACTCCTAGCATTCCAATTTTTATTTTCTTTTTCTAATTTAATTTAATTACTTTATTTTAAAATACAAACTTTTTTGTTCACAAATATTAAACACATTTTATTTTTTTTAAACCAAAAACAATTAATATAAATATAAATTATATTTTTAAAAACAAAAAAACGTGTTAATACCAGACAAACACTTAATATTTAAATAAATGAAAAAATTAAATTGGAGTAAAAAATCAGATTTATTAATAAAAAGGGTAAAAAGTTGAATTTTTAATTAAAGTGAGGTAAAAATCGGATTTAATAAAAAGAGGGGGGATAGGAATTGAATTTTGTTTGAATTGTAAATTCTCTGAAACGGGTCTCCACCAATCACCAACAAACACTCCCTCTCTCTCTTCTCTCTCTCTCTCCTCTCGTTAAATTTTTGACAAACCCATCTTTACAACCCCCTAGCGAGTGCTAGGGGGTGGTGTGCCTTTGGGCTTAGCGACTTTAGCGACGGATCTTAACACTCCCACTTCTCTTAGTCTTAAGCTAGCATGAACAATACTACACTTGGGTGCACAACCACCTTAGCATTTTGTCTCACATCACTTCCACATAAGTTTTGCCATACACCATCTTCAATGTTATTTAGGTGGGGTGGGTTGACCTACCATCTTCTGCTTGATGAAAACTACGAAACCATTATTATTTGACCGATTAGTGAATTAAGTTACCGATATAAGTGAAGGATAAGCCACGTATAAGAACATTTCGTTAATGATTGTCCTACATATAATGTCATATGCAAAACCTAAAGAAACTAATAATAAGGACAAAATGTGTACAAAAATATTAAAGATTAAATTTATACAAACTGGAAATTATATTACTCTGTTAAGTTATATTACTCTACGTAGAACGTTGTAAGCAAAACCTATAGAAACCGGTCATAAAGACAAAATGTGTACAAAATATTAATCACTAAATGTATACAAAATAATTTGACGGATTCGTGAATTAAGTTACTGATATAAGTGAATGACGAACTACGTATGAAGACGCCTCGTTAATGATTATCGTACGTAGGATGTCGTGAGCAAAACCTGAATAAACCGATCATCATGACAAAATGTGTACAAAAATACTAAGGACTAAATGTATACAAACTGAAAATTATATTATTCTATTAAGTCATTTTTCTGACTTAAACTAGAATAGCCGGTTATAAGGACTAAATATATATAAAATAACAAGTTAAATTGTCAAATGTGGACCAAAAAAAAAATTCAATGACTAAATATGTACAAAATGAAAAATACATTACCATATTAAGTCATTTTCCCTTTTTTGTTTACTTAAACAACTAAATTTTATAAAAATCAATATTTCATTAATTGAACGGAAAATTACACCGCTTAAAACATAGGAAAAAATAATGAAAATATTTTAAACATAACTTAAAGCCCACATATCTTAGAGATTATATTTCTTTGTAATATTCGACTTCACATTCTCTGCAATTCAACGTTCATTCTTGGGAAAATAAGAAACATCTTTCATTAAGAGTTATAATGACAAGTCATTTCTTTTTCTTGTGCAATCTTCAACAATTTTTTTAATATTTCTATTTAACCTGTCGAACCCCGATTTCATATCATCACTTTGCTTGAACCACCTTCGACGCCTTTTTCTTGATATATTCCCATGGGACGTATAGTGTAACACCTGTTTTTCAAAACAAGTATTACTATGTAAAAATAGGCAGATATTAATGGAAGAAAGTGATAGTTCACTCGGATACGATTCTGTGGATATAAAATTTATCGAAATCGGAGTCTGTATAAGAAAATTATGGCCGTTTAAATTTGAGATAATAGTGCGTTGCTATTCTAAAGAAGTCAACAAAAGTCAAAGTCAAACAGTCAATAGCGTCTCTTCGCAGCACAGCCCAGTCATCATTGCAACGAGGATATGAAGTGAGTCATCAAGGTATGTGGTGATCATACGAGACATGTGGTAATATTTAAGACACGCATCAAACTCGCAAAGTAATGCGTAATCATGGCACGACCACATGCTTGTCATGACATGGCGGCCAGACATATATATAGTTTTTTATGTGTGTGTGTGTCGTTTGTTTTTTTAGCACATGCAGTCGGGGGGGGGGGGGGGGGGGAGGGGGGCTCCAGAGGTGTTTCTAGAGACTTATAACTGAAGAGTTATACTAGTGTACGAAGGTATGATGGTTAAGCCACGAGATTAGCCAGTGTACTTTTATCTTGTTATTACATAATTATATTTGCATAGTATTTTGTAATAGCTTATTAGACCCCGAGTGTGCTACGTGATCTCTTAATATTGTGCTATTATGAACCCAATGATTAGTTAAATGTTAATCTGAATGATAAGGGTTATATACCCTAGTTTATCGAGATTGTTGATTGGGTTAACGACTTACGGGGGTTAAGTCGTTAAATAATTGTATTTGGAAACTTAACTAGTTTGGTGACAAATGGTTACCGATCCTAGATAGTGATCATGTAATTGATCACGGTGGTTGATATATTGATGAGTTTAGACAAGTTCTAATGAACTTGATATATTGTCCAAATAGGTCTGAACAAGTGATGAAATAGGAAAGCAGCGCAAGGCTGGAGGCCATAATGATAGTTAGTCTTCACTAACTAACCAGGTGGGTAAACACATTTATTTTCAAAATATATGTTTATTATTGTATTGCGTTAATCTCGTGATAAATACAATAACCTATAAGGTTGGGAATGGTTGAGAGTTGTGGCGAATTGGTATGATTAACATTATAATAGGTTATTGTTATGTGAAATAATGAGATGGTTGAGTTGCAATATAAATAAGTTATATAGATTAAATATTTGA